GGGAATTGGCTCTCCGTCATCGGTGGGCTCGGGCTGATGCTCCGCACTGCAGGGAGATGGTGGGCTGGGCACTGAGATCATCCATGGGGCAGGTGGTGGGTGGCGATCCGTTTCTCACCAGAGTCCACTCCACGAAGGCGATGAAATCCTCTCGAGGACCATCTTCGGACGACGGCGCTCTGCTCGCGGTGTTCAAGCTCGCATCATAGAATTAGCAGAGCGTGTCATCCGGCTAGCTGTTGGTGCTTGCTAGCAGCTGAAATAGTCTCGTATGGTCCTCAAGAGATCTACCCCCCTGCTCCAGCAGGAGGAGGAGGAATTCCGGGTAAATCCAACACAGAGGGTAAATCCAACACAGGGAACAGGAGATAGACACGTACATCACTGGTAGACCCAACAAATACAAACTGAACAGACTGGGGCGTATAAGGACTGGATAACGAGGGACAAAATAAACACAGCTGGAATCCAATTAACACAATTAACACGAGGAGAAACTGGGTCATGGGGAGCAAAACACACACAGACAGTCCAGAACCCTGACACTAACCTGCTGCAGTAAGTTTCCAAATACAAGAGAGAACAATAAAGATATCTGATGTTTAATAGAGATAGGTGATAACTGGTTTGACAAATATTTTTCACAGATATTCAAAATGTTCTATCTATCAATAAACACAGCTGGAATCCAATTAACACAATTAACACGAGGAGAAACTGGGTCATGGGGAGCAAAACACACACAGGCAGTCCAGAACCCTGACAGTATCACTATTCCTATCAATAAAAATTGCAACAACAAAAAAACAAAACACCAAAACAATTGTTTATACATTCTCTAATACATTTGATGGAATTCTAGGATTCTAAGTCATTGTAGCACTGCATGCAAGTAACATATTACCTAGTATTTCAAAACATTGTGAATAACAATTACAATGCAATTAAATTGGAATTATTATCTTATAACTAAATTAGCTTTAGGGCCATCTGAAACAAACTGGAATAAAGAAGGGCCTGTTGTTTCGCTGTGGGTGGTTTCACCATAGGCCATAAACCCAAATTTATGCTATGTGTGCATTTAAATAGACTTACGGAGTCACAATTTACAACCATAATCATTCTGCTTTTATATTGACTGGTAAGTTGATAGATTTTATCTTTGGCATTATTTGGTAAAGCCTAACATCTTGCACTTGAATAAGATCTTTGGAGATAGCACTTAAAAGCCATTCGGAAAACACTAATTTGCAAAGAGTTCCAAAGCAGGATTTGTTCTGATCATGTACCCTGGTGATTTTAGTCTTGCCCAACTGAAAGATCAAGAAAACGGTCTGTGATTACCATAACTGGTATGTCGACATGTATTTGACCAGCTTAGGCCGAGAGGCAGCATTTATGAGCATAACTTAACAACAAGATTGACACTTCATTCAACTAGTTTCATAATATGACCAGTCATAAAGACAAAACATGCTGTTCATCATATATAATAAATCATTAAAAAGGCACAGTCATTTTTGCCATTAAAAACATTTTGTCACATAAAGACATGAACAGAGGCGGACAAAGTACTCAACTCCATTACTTGAGTGAAAGTACAGATACTGCTGGTCAAACATTACTCCATTACAAGTAAAAGTTGTAAAGACAGATTTTTACTTAAGTCAAAGTACAAAAGTACTTGCTTTTAAAAGTACTTAAGTACCAAAAGTAAATTTCCTTTTTTATGTCAATGCACATATTTTTTATTGTTGTACGTAATACTTGCAATACCTCTGAAGCAACTTACAATACATTACACCTACTGAATACACTGACTAGCTTGTAGTATCTTTGGAATAAAGAGCTTTTAGAATGTTAAAAACAAAAAATAAATAACAATTATTATTTAACACCCCTACCCACCCTAGGTAATATTTTCACTATTTTAATTAGGAGATGCACAGCAGTTCTTCTGTGGCTTTATAGGTAATATTTTCACGTATACAATTTAGCAAAAATAGACAATATTGTGTCTAATACCACAATATTAACTTCTTATTATTGAATTGTTGTAAATAAATATCACATGCTGAGAAATCACTTCATGTAGCCCTAAAAGAGTGATTACTGATAAGCTGCCTGAAAAAAAGAAAGTCACGTTTTAGAGAAGAAAAAAATCACCCACTGACTTTCAAAGCTGCTACATAGTAACGACTTTCTACTTCGAGGACTTTGATAGAAATGTAGTGGAGTGAAAAGTACAATATTTGTCTTTCAAATGTAGTGAAGTTAAAGTAATAAGTTCCCAGAAAAAATAAAATAGTACTCATGCTTAAATATGCTTAAAATCATGCACACTTGTGGAACAACTAAAAGATAACACATAATTTTTTTTAAAAAGCCTGCACGCATACAATATATAATAATAAGTACATGTACCCTCCTAGTGTACACAGTAAACTTTGGGCTTAAGATGAAGACTACAGTCACATGAGCAGCCTAATAAAATCAGTTTTGTTTTACATGGAGCAGGTTATCTCATGGGGGCAGCCACGTTGATCACATGACTAGCCGAATACAGCATGTTTTATCAAGGCAACCCACATATTATAAGACACATAATAAAAAAATAAAAAATAAAATCCTGACAGCTAATCGTGCATTTATACAGTGGCACTGGTAGCCAAACACCTTTGATTTTACGCAGTGTTTCATCCACGGCAGTAGGTGTCAGTACAAGTCAAAGACAAGTGACATATTAGCCAGTGCAACATTAGCAAAAAAATGCATCTTTTACTGATCAAAAATTTTAATAATTAGAGAAACGAGTGCTTGCTTTCTTTTTAATCTATGTTTCCCTGCAATAAAGTTATTATGGGATGCTTTTGGGATGCCCAAAGAATGTTTTTGGGTGGGTAGGTATGTATGTATGTATTTAAACAATAAAGTGTATTATTTATTTATTTAAACACATTTCTTTATACAAATGTATTTATTTATTTATGTCTAACCAATCTCTCTCTCTCTTTCTCACTTGCCTTTTTCTCACCCTTCCTCTCTGTCCCTGCCCCCACAGGGTTTAGCGGTGCTGATAGGCATCTCTGTTGGAGTCTGCCTGCGTTTCTGCAGACAAACTGCCTCCACCAGCCACACTGTTCTCCCTGGGAACCCTGCATGAACCCTCCACTCCTTTATTGCACCCTCTCCCCCGGCGCACGAGCCTGTGCGCCAGCCTGCCCTCCGCCCACGCTGGGCTATGGCGGGACCCTCACACAGGTCAGGGTTCGGCCTTTTTGTTCCACTGTGAAGTACAGTAAACCAAAAATAGCCTATCGGTGCTGGACGTGTGTTTATCTTGGAACCGTATTGTATGTCCTGTGCAATGCAGCCGTGGCGGCCATCTTGCATGGCTCTCTGCCTACGCAAATCGGCATCTGCCTCACGTGCGACCGTTTGCTTTTGCCGTAATGGGGGACGATAAAACGGGAGTGGCAAAGTGTCTCCTCTTTCTGCTTCCTGTGACTGACCTTCGGATGACCTCGGGAACTCTGGGCCACTCAGAAGGCAGTTGTTTTGTCCGCAGCGTGCGCATTCCTCCTAGGCTATCTCAGCCATCACTTGACAGGAATTATATAATTGCTGCCTGTGATCTCATTCTCCTCAAAGAGTATTTTGAAGTTTGCTTCCCTTTCTTTCCCTTTTGGTTTCCCCTCCCACTCTTTTTAATGTTAAAATTGCTCACATTAAATCACCCTCTTCCTTCGATCCCCTCAACATTTTCTCTCACAGTATTTGGCATTCAATCCCTCTGTTCTTGTCAAATTGTTTATGATACGCTTATCGCTTTAATGCGTGTGTGTGTGTGTGTGCGTGTGGAGGTGCATGCTGAACCGTGCTCATTTAGCAAACACAGAGATGAAGTGATACCATGTAACATTTATATATGACTACGCAGTGTGATGACTATCCTGTGTAGTACCTGTAAATGGGACTCTGTGACACAACCAGACCAGTACTGTCAAAATGTTAAAGCAGAACTGCAGATCTGCATTTACTCACACACACACACACACACATACACACACACACAGTCTGGTCAGCTATCCTTGTGGGGACTCTCCATAGGCGTAATGGTTTTGCTACTGTACAGACCGTATATTCTATTGCCCTACACCAACCCTACCCCTAAACCTACCCCTTACAGGAAACTTTCTGCATTTTTAGATTTTCAAAAAACTTCATTCTGTATGATTTATAAGCTTTTGTACCCGTGGGGACCACAATTTAGGTCCCCACCGTGACACGAGTCCCCATGAGTCTGTGTGTAGTCAGGTTTAAGTCCCCACCAGGATATATAAACCAGTACACACACACACACACA